CCGCGCGCGCAGCGCCGGCGGCACCGCCGGCCGCGCCCCAGGAGTCGGGCGCGGGCGACGCTGGCGATGGCGCCCCCTCGAGCAGGGAGAGCGCGAGCGTCGCCCCATCTACCACGTCGACCGGCACGGCCGATGTGGGCGGCGGCGAGGACGACCGCCGCCGCAGCAGCAGCAGCGGTAGCGGCGGCGAGGACGACCGCCGCAGCAGCAGCAGCCGCGGTAGCGGCGGCAGCGGCAGCGACAGCAGCAGCGGTGGCAGCAGCGGCGATGACGGCAGCAGCGACAGCAGCAGTGGCAGCGACAGCGACACGGATCCCCCGGTGCTCTGTGGGCCAGAGGCCCGGCGGCTCGCCCGCTTCGACAAGCCGGCGGAACTCACCAGCCGCCGCACTAGGGAGAACCCTCGCCGAAATCCGAGGTACGAGTCGCCCCCGTCGCCGCCCACATCGGCCCCGTCGCCGACAAGTGCCGAAGCCCTGCTCGCCTCGGTGGCGAGCCTGCCCGACAGCAGCACGGAGGAGTTCACCCGCTGGATGCTCTCGGCAGTACTTCACGTGGCGGAGGNGCTTCGACAAGCCGACGGAACTCACCAGCCGCCGCACTAGGGAGAACCTATTACTATACCCATGTACGTGTGTTGAAGATGATGTTATCACTTGTATTTAGGACCGCAGACACGATCAGGACGCGGCGGGAGAGAGAGAAGGCCATGACACAGCAAGCACTCCCGCAGGATCGAGTCCCGTGGATCAACCATGAAACCAACCCAGGGGACTATCAATTCCTATCTGCGTAGCCACTTCCTAAAGTCCCGTTGGAATATTCTCATCCGCTCATGCACACACGAACACCCTCCCTGGTTCTTTATGCTAGTAACTAACCACTTAGTGGGCATTCACACGCCGGATGTGACCAAAAAACCAAACGGACAAAAACCAAAAAAAAAACAGGGGGAAACCCGGCCTCCGGATCAAAACCCCCACCAATATTCACCGTTCCATCAAACGCCCTATCCCAACGCTTGGCAAGCAGTAAAAGTGCAAGACTATCCTGAGGAGTTGGTTCAAACAACTACAATACGGCTTCACTACTGTTTGTTCTTCAAACAAACATCAGACAAACATCGAAATCGCCCCCGCTCGCTGATGAAATACAGCGCACTGGGGCGGAAGACAATCATCCAACATTTTCTGAGCGACACATAACCGGCATTCATTTTTCGGCAATCCTCTATTCTCGTGGAGTACAACACTGGTGTCCCAATTTTTCCTCCTACGTACCTTCAGCGGTTCCAACAGTATCCCATATTCCTGTACATTGCGCAACCTCGAGAACGGCACCACGTAGCTGCAATCAATGAGGGTCTCAACCGAATGACTATCAGGAAATACTGAACATGTGGGCGCGAACGCCTACGAGAAACACGGAACACCCTCCCTGGCTCTTCAACCAAAGTACAGTCATGACAACTCACGAGGATTTACCAACTTCGCTACGAATATCATCAAACACCAAATACCGTCAAGAAAGAAGTGCCACAATCCAGCGCTGTGATGCGTGTTCCTCCCCTCCCAGCGCTCGTCCCGGCCTGTAGCCTCGCCACAAAAGGAGTTCCCGTTTTAGCACCACGATGCAAGTACCCTACCCCCACGCGCCTTCCGACGTGCCGCGGGGTTCCCGCTCTCGCCCCTTCCGATGCGCCACGGGGCTGCTTCGATTTTCTCTCCCCCTTACGCTCCGTCCGACGCGCCACGGGGCTTATGTTTGCCTNATACCGTCAAGAAAGAAGTGCCACAATCCAGCGCTGTGATGCGTGTTCCCTCCCTCCCAGCGCTCGTCCCGGCCTGTAGCCTCGCCACAAATGGAGTTCCCGTTTTAGCACCACGATGCAAGTACCCTACCCCCACGCGCCTTCCGACGTGCCGCGGGGTTCCCGCTCTCGCCCCTTCCGATGCGCCACGGGGCTGCTTCGATTTTCTCTCCCCCTCACGCTCCGTCCGACGCGCCATGGGGCTAATGTTTGCCTCCCCCCCACGCCCTCCCGACGCGCTATGGAGCTGCATTGATTGTCGCCCTCCCGCGCCCCTCCCGTCGCAGCTGCGAGCACACGGCCCTCCCACCGTGTCATTTGGTTGTTGCCCTCCCGCGCCCCTCCCGTCACGGCTGCGAGCGCACGGCCCTACCGCCGTGTTATTTAGTTGTTGCCCTCCCGCGCCCCTCCCGTCGCGGCTGTGGGCACACGGCCCTACCGCCGTGTTCTCTGAATGTTGCCCCCCCACGCCCCTCCCGTCGCGGCTATGGGCGCACGGCCATCTCGCCGTATCCTTCTCAATATTGCCCCCCCCACGCCCCTTCCGTCGCGGCCATGGGGCACACGGCCTTGCGGCCGGTTTTCTGTGTCTCCACCCTTCCACGCTGTTGCAATGGTGCTATCTTCACCATCTCCTACTGCTGCTGTGTGTGGATGGTGCGCGCGTAGTGACCAGCGCGGATATTGTGTCTTTCCCCCGCCTCTTCTTACAAGGCCTCACGTGCCACATCCAGCTCCTCGTCATCGCTCGCCACCGCAACCGCCATGACCGCCGTCTCGCCCTTCGCCTCCTCCTCGTCCTTCGCCGACGGGCACTTGCTCTTATCGTGTCCATACCCGTCGCAGTTCTCGCACTGGGTCATGAAGTCGGCGATAGGGGTAGTGCACGAAAACGACTGGTGCCCTCGCCTCTTGCACCGGTAGCACCGGCCCCTACGACTGTCGCCGTAGCTGCTGCCGTCTCCACCGCCGATGCCGTTGCCGTTGCGGCTGCCGCCATTTTCGCCGTTTCCGCCACCGCCGCGTCCCCCGCGGCCGCGGTTGCGACCAGCTTTTCCGCCGCTGCCATTGTCGGCGCTCACGAGTAATCCCTGCTCAGACGCCTTGTGATTGTTGCGGTTGCTGTTCCGATGGCTCTTCCCCTGCTTGATGCTGGAGTGCTGGGAGCCCACCACTCTGATGACCTCTCCCCGGTCCAGAGTCGGTGCGGACTGCAGAGTCAGTTTGGCATGGTCGTACTCGGCCGGTAGGGCCGAAAGGAAGAGCGACAGCACGTAAGAAGCCTTGACCCTGACCCCTCTCTCGTTCAGACGACTTGCGAGTTGCTCCACGGCGATAAGCGATTCAGTCGGGTTTTTGTCGGCCGGCATTGCGAAGTTCTGAAACTTGCTGAGCAACTCCTGTGTGGCTACCTGCGATTCCGGGTTGTGCACCTTGTCGAGTTCATCCAACGCCTGCTTCGGCGTCACACATCTCCCGAAGACGGCCTTGTCTGGCTCCCTCACCAGGGCCGAGGACAGAAAGTGGAAAGCTTGGAGGCTGCGGTGGATCTGCGCCTCGGAGTACCCCTCTGCCAGCAACGTAGCTTTGGGTTTGTTCATGTCCCCGACGTCCGGCTGGGGTTCCGTGGCCCCTACGAACTGGCCGTCCATGTCTACTGTATTAGCAGCCTGGATAAAGGCCCTCCTCCATGAGTAATATCCCTGGCCGCCTTCGCGACGCAGCGCGTGCACTGACACACGCATTTTGCTATACGGGTTCTGGTGAAAACCATCTCCTTCTCCGACGAATCCGCCAAAACCTCCGGTACCGCCGCCATATGTCTCGGTTGTCTCACCTTGGGGGAGCGATCCCCTGTCACGTCCGCCACCCGGCCCAACCGCCGGGTCTGAGGGTGGCGTGATTCCCTCGTTTTGCGGTGCCCCCTCCTGGGTACCGCGGGTGGGCGCATCGCCCGTAACGACAGCGCCCACCCCAGCGCCGCCGGACTCCCCCTCCTTCTCTAACTTTCCGAGGGCGGATCGAAGCAGCCCAGCCAGCTGCTGTACCTCGTCCGTCAGGCCTGAAACTTTGCTCTCCAGGTTGTCAACTCTGCCCTGCGTACTAGTGGTGACGTCGGCAGCCTCTGCTGCAACATCGGCGCCACTCATCCCCAGCACGGGTTCCCTCGAGGGATACACTCTAGAGTGATATTATACCCATGTATGTGTGTTGAAGATGATGGTATCACTTGTATTTAGGACAGCAGACACGATCAGGACGCGGCGGGAGAGAGAGAGTGCCATGACAGCAAGCACTCCCGCAGGGTCGAGTTCCGTGGATGAACCACCCAGGGGACTATCAATTCCTATCTGCGTAGCCACTTCCTACAGTCCCGTTGGAATATTCTCATGCGCTCATGCACACACGAACAGAACCCTCGCCGAAACCCGAGGTAAGAGTCGCCCCCGTCGCCGACAAGTGCCGAAGCCCTGCTCGCCTCG